TAAAATATATTCACTCAGTTTAAATGGTTGTGGTGCTGTTTGTGATAAGTACTGGCTGTTTAATCTGTTAGACATTTAGTGTCTAGCATAATAATACAATTTACAGAATAATGTTTGTGTTATCAAATACTGTATTGCTTTGTAATAACTGTTCGTGACTTCCTCAGGTGATTTTGAACCAGCACATTCCAGCAGATTATCTGCTTCGTGTTTGTCAGCGAATAGGCCCACTTATAGAGAAGGAGGTCCCACCTAGTGTTCCTGGAGTCCAAACACTTCTGGGACTGGGAAGACAGTCCTTGCTTCGTACAGCCAGAAGTAAGCATTTTCCCCCTATTCGCCATAGTTTTTTTTTTTTTTTATCCTCGTTTTTTTTTTGTGTTTGAGTGGTTTGTTAGCCATTGATCTGTTTCCAAATTAATAATCGGTCATTTTTGAAAATATTTTTTCACCCACTTCCTGTATAACTTAGGTTGTAGCCACAAAGTTTACAATGGCTCAGCTGTTGCTGCACTCCACCGAGGGCGTCCGCCAGAACCTCCATTCAGCAATGAAAATGCTCCAAGTGTTGGTATGTGAGATTTATTTATTTATTTTTTAAATTTATACCCTATAAGAGGACCCAGAGCCTTTGACCAAGTTAAGTCAGCTTTAGTAGTCTATTACCTCTACTAATCATTCTTGTGTGTCTTTATAAGTGTCCATCATGGGTGCTCGCCAGACCACAGGTACAGCTCATTTCAGCCAAGCCCTGCCCTCTTCCTCCTACCAACACATGAAGATACACAAACGTATCCTTGGCCACCTTTCTTCAGTCTACTGCATAGCCTTTGACCGCACTGGTCATCGGATATTTACGGTGAGTGATGATATTTGGGCCTGCCGATCATAGCACCATAGCTTTATCTAAGGTATCTCACTAGTCTTGTTTCCATATATCAAGTCACATCTAAGCAACCCATTAGGGCTGTACAATTAATTGTTTTGTGAGCATTATTTAGATCCCTGTGCAATCTCAGTCTCACGTGACAATGATTCTGCCATGTTTGCATTAGCAGTGAGATCCCATGCATCCAACTAAGCGCTTCCTTTTCCTTGCTAAGCTGTGTTAACCACTAACCTCAACTAATAACCACAAAGTTTTTTATTTCTTCCTCAAATGCAATTCGGCACTAGGTGTATAGGGCAGGCAGTGCAGTGTTTGAAAAATAGATGCAGGTGGGCACAGAATATCTTTTACAATGTCAAACATGTTGGATTTGTTTTTGAACCAGTCTCTTTTCTTGTCTACAGCTTGTCACGTGATGTAACGCATTCCCGCTACTGAATAACACAGCTTCGCGCAGGGCAAGGGAGCACTTGGTTTTCTACGGATACGAGGCATCTCCCTGCTAATGCAAACATGGCAGAATCATTGTCACATGCGACTAAGATCGCACAGGGATCTAAATCAGGGGTTCTCAACCTTTGGTAACGTAAGGCCCACTTTAGATTGTAAAAAAATTTCAGAGGACCACGTTCCCAAATAAATGAGAGAAAAAAACATAAAATACAACACAAATTAAATAAACGTGTGTTATACCTCTGTGGCTGTGGTCCACCACAGGGTGCTCTGAGGCCCACCAGTGGTCCGCAGCCCTCAGGTTGAGAATAGCTGATCTAAATCACACAAAGCGATTTATTGTGCAGCCCTACAAACTATTTAATTGTTTCAGTAGATAACATTTGTTTATTTAACCAGGGATATCCCATTGAGGTTAACAATCACTCTTTCATGCCTTTGTACTGGTGATAACTGTGGGTGGGGGGGTTGTTCATCCATCCGTACGTCTGTCTCATTCTTGTGAATGCCATATCTCTGTAACACCTCGAGGGAAATTCTTCAAATGTGAAACAAATGTCCACTTGAATTCAAGAATCAATTAATTAAATTTTGGTGGTCAAAGGTCGCTTTCACGCCATTCCTATGAATTTCATTGGTTGGCAGAGGCATACAACCACAAAGCAGAACCAAATTACATAAATAAATACTTCCAGATCTTAGGATGGAGTTCTGTCAGATAATGCTGACAATGTATGCTCATCTTTCAGAGGCAGTTCCAGATTAAATGGTCTTGTTTATTAGTTGGCAATGTGTGTGTGTTTTTTTTTTTTTTTTTGTAGGGTTCTGATGACTGTCTCGTGAAAGTCTGGGCTACGGATGACGGCCGGCTCCTGGCAACACTTCGCGGCCACTCAGCAGAAATCTGTGACATGGCTGTCAACCATGACAATACACTCATTGCCTCAGCAAGCTGTGACAAAGTCATTAGAATATGGTGCCTGCGTACCTGTGCACCTATCACTGTTCTGCAGGCCCATGCTGCCTCCATCACATCCATACAGGTGAGGTTGTGGCACTTAAAAGGAATAATTCAAACAAATCAGGGTTCACTGTCAATCATGAGGATTGGAAGTTTTTTTTTCAGGCTTTGTTAAAACAACTGAAGATCCCAGTTAAAACAAAAATCACCCCATATCATACAGCATAATGCATGTTTTTGGAAGCAGAGCACTTTGGCTTTATGTCCCAGTGTATTCCATTAATCTTATGGGATGACCAACTAATTTGTTCTGCACACTGTCACCTTTTAACCTATTGTTTGCTGCTGTAATTTTATGTTAAATTCTGGTCAGTCGTTGCTTGTGACAAACTAACAGCAAATTTTCTGTCCCTTTAGTTTTGTCCTGCTGTCAAAGGGACAGTCCGGTACCTGGCCTCCACAGGTGCAGATGGCATGGTGTGTTTTTGGAAGTGGCACTCACTTAACATGAAATTCAAGTAAGTCGTTGAAACTTCTGTTATAGCTTTTTTTGTGTGTGTTTAGCTCTAACAGTTGTTCGACTAAAGGTTTCTTTTTTTCATGGAAGTAACTACAGTATTTCTGTTTCTCTTCTTTCCTCAGTGATCAACCAGTCAAGTTTGTTGAGCGGTCACGTCCAGGAGTGCAAGTCTCCACTTCCTCCTTCAGTAGTGGTAAATGCATTTTCATGCCTGGTAGCATCTCACTATTCACATGTGGTTTTCTTAAAGTGAAGTTATATCAGTATTAGTTTTATGCTACAGGATTGGCTCAGCAAATGATCAGGAACCCAGAGAATGTCATTAGACTGACAGAACAACTGCTGACAAATAGTTCAAATAATTAAAAAAGAGGCTTCATATGTTTGACAAAGGGAGTTGTCATGGCAGCCCATCAGAGTTGATGTATTGGGAATACTAACTTAAAAAAAAAACTCAGGATATTGATACATGGGTATTGTGTGCTGAATGAATTCTTGTTCCTCCTATTTTACTGTGTGTTACTAGGTGGTATGTTCATGGCTACTGGTGGCACAGACCATATGATCAGGGTCTACTACCTTGGTGCTGAAACTCCGATGAAGGTCTCTGAGATGGATGCTCACACTGTAAGAAACAAAACACAGCAGCTGCATCATTCTTGTTCCACCACTTTACTCTTTAAGGCTCATTTAAAGAAGGCCTCTTTAACTAATATAGTTCTTTCTCTGTTTTAGGATAAAGTTGTAGTTGTCCAGTTCAGCAATAACAGTGACAGGTAAGTGTGTTTGCTGAGATCTACACAGACTTAAAACTGATTTTTGTGTGGTTTATATTGCTACTGATAATTGAATGCGTATCCAGCCTAAGGTTTGTGAGTGGCAGTCGTGATGGCACAGC